CGTGGGTCTGCCTGTCTTATTGCATCTGAAATACATCTGAGTAACACCAGAAAGTGCAGTCCTCGGAAAAAGCACGTACTTCCATCACAAAACGTAGCCTAGCTTAAAACAGCCAGAAATTGGTGGGAAACATGTTTTACATTCTAAATATAGCTTGTGCCGCTTTGTCACAGCGGAAAGCAGCTTCACAGTAGCTGTTTTTGAAGCACTATTAACTAATTGTTATTGAACTAATCAGCATCGCTCACGCAGCATTCCTGATGGCACAGAGGTACTGCTGCACAGGGGAAGCGTTCCTTGCTCCCACCTCTCTTTCGCAGACACTGTAAGAAAATGGCCAATATACACTGAATATTTTTCTCTCGTGCTGCTTTTCCTTCGTGGAAGGAGTGACTGCAAACATCTGCAGATGCACCTCTCTGTTCTTTCGTGGGAGGTAACATCCTTGCATTCCTTCTCTGAGCCCATACTGCAGGAAAACCTCTTGCGTTTTGCTTTGCCCATTCTGCAGATCAGTCTGGCTGTTTTATCTTGTGACCTTCTGTTTGTTTTGTTGTGTTTGGCTTTTATAATCCACTTAACTGTTGCTTATCTACGCCATAACTTGAGGGCAGTGGCTGCAACAGGAGAAGAAACAATCTGTTCTCCATGTCACTGCAGGGACAGAACTTCAATGCGGCGAGGATGGTTTAGGCTAGACATTAAAAAAAAAAAAAAGCAACCTGAGAGTTATTTTAAGAGTTTTAAAAATAGGGATATGCTGGCAGAGTTTGTGTGGGGATGGTGGGGGAATCTGGAAAGAGGTCAGTGATTGAGATTACAGGAACATCTGACCAGCCGAGCTGATCCCGCTGTGACGCAGGAGGATGGATGTCTGAGCCCTCTCCAAATCCTTTCCAGCTCTATTTTCCATGACTGTGTGTGCCAGGAACCAGCGTGTAAACTTTGGAGGTGCTGTGTGTGCATGCTTTAAGTGTCAGCACATGCTACATTGAATATTGCTGTGTATTCTCTCTTGTTGTTACTAGGTAGGTAAGATTACAGCTGATACGTCAGAACATGCTGCAACCACCCCGCCATTATAGTGTGTAGACATACAGATTAGAGGCTTTTTAGGCCTGGAGCTGTCTCTTTGTTCTGTGTTTATGCAACACATTGTGCAATGAGATTCTGGCCTCTAGGTGCTAACACCAAAATGCAAATATATTGATTACTAGGGAATAAAAGCAGGCATGTTCACAAAAGCATGCTTTGATGAACTGGGGGGGAAATGCTTGCTAGATAGAAAAGGATCAGAGGTCTTTACAAAACAGAAATTTGCTTGGGATTGTTTGGAACTGTGGGATCAAGCTGATGCACAGAAAATCTTCAGTCTCTTTCACTGCATTTTTCTCCTCATTTTTTGCCTGCATGTTTATTTAAATGGCATGAGTATAGGGGAATCTTGCTCCAGACTTGTCTGTGAGTTTCCTGACATAATACTGGCACTATAGAAACAATTAGAAAATCAGAGAAATCCTTTGCTACCCAGAAATTGGAGCAGATTAAGAGCAGCAAGGAATGCTTCATAAAAACAGTTATTAGGTTTACCCAATGAATCACAAAGATTTGTAGCCTACCTGTGCTACATAGCATCGTGGCAACTGTCACTAAGAAAAGGAATAGTAGTTTCATATTGATGAAAAGCTCTCAGTGCCACACAGCCCAGAGAGCAAATATCCAAAGCAAGCAGCGAGAAAAACTAAGGCGAACCTTCTGCAATGCACAGAGCTCCGGTGCGGGCAGGCCACTGGGGATTTTAAGCACCTTCTCTTTAAAGGTTATAAGCATTTGCAAGCTCAAATTGACTGCAGCGTGAGCAGAGGCTGTTCAGTACGACTGGAAAATGGGGGCAGTGATATGTTTAAATGTGGATTTAGATGTGTAACTTTATTCATGGGCTCATTTTGACTCTCTCTTGCATTTCCAGATAGATTTGTTGTCTTTACGTGATCCTGCCAATATCATCCCAGTCCATAGATGATGATGTTTTTTTAGTAATTACTATACAACCTGCTCAGCCTTTCTTCTTACTTTTTGGCTGAGAGAGAGTTTCAAGGAGACAATCTCAAAGGTGAATTGAAATCAGATAAGAAAAGAAATGTTTACAAATATCTGCATGAGATTCCAAGGCAGGATACATGCACAGAATTAGACTTCATGAATACATACTGGTTTTTTTTCAGGGAAAGTGAAACGCTTTCCACCTGCCAAGAGCTGAGTTTAGACCCTCAGGGGTCTGTGTCACTTCTGCTATAGTTGATCATGTCACTAATACCTCAAGCAGCGTGAGGTACGCAGCTTTAACCTTGCTTTTTATGTATTCGTGATTTCAACAGCCATGAAAAAATTCAGAGCTCAGTAATCTTCAACTACATTCCTAGAAGGTAAAAGGCTTTTGAATTCACCTTTAAAATGCACTTGCTTTTATTGGCACAGACTGTCCATACATTCGGTGAATGGTTGGAGGTTTCAAACAGGTACGAGTCTTTAGGGATGTGTTTCCTTCTTTTTGAAGTATTTCATTTCACCCTTAATGTAACGTGCTGTCTGCACAGAGCCACATCAAGCATCAGCAGCACTTTTCTGCTCTCCCTTGCTGTCAACAAGAAATCTGTGCTTAGAAGAGGAGGGACACATCACCCTTTGAAAGTTGAACAGAGGGACAGACTCACAAGGCACAAAACCAAACAATTTACATCTCATAGAGGCTCTGGGGTAGCGAAGGGAAATGTCTTTTTCCACATTGTCTTCCCCCCCCCCCATCAAATTTTCCACTGCTGTGCCAGCAAAAGTGCAGCTCCGGCAGCGAGCGTGTCAGAGGAGAATGATCACTGGCAATTTTTAACCATTGTGTTTCTTAGATGTGCTCCAAAAGTGGTTTGAGGAAAAGCGGTGTTTTTCTGGCAGCAGGCTGCGCACACCGGCTCTTCTAATGGTCGCATCTCGGAAGCGGCAATTGTTGCAGGCTGGCACATGGGATCCAAAGAAAAATGCTATTGTAGACACTGCTTCAGACCTGGGTATTGAGAGCACTTTGAAGCTGTCAGCTCAGGACAGACAGTAGTGTCACTACCTAGAAAGAAAACACATTGCTAAAGTGATCCATTTTCTTCTGTGATTGTACATATTCCTGTTTCCCTGAGCGTGTCATCGTCTGGAAATCTCCGAGGTGTATTTTCAGGTTTGTGCTGTGTGATCAGTTTGGCCTCGCACTCTGATGTGTGCTGTGAAAGTCTCAAAATCTTGAGATGTTTGGTCCTTAACAGAAGGACGCTACAGTGCACTGAATGCAGCCAGCCAGCCGGCTAGCTGCTCCCTCCGCTCCCCCGCAAAGTGCAGAAGACAGGGCAGCAATTGGACGAGTGCACCCCTGTGAACACGCTGTATTTCGCTGATGGTCATTGTCACCTCATGCATTCGCTACATCCAGCCAAAAAGGAAATGAAAAAATATAATAAACAAATAGTTTGAACTGAGCACTGGGATAAAGGCTATTTTCAATTTTGCCTTTCACGTTTAATTGTACAGCAATAATTTTGCAATAGAGTTGCCGATGGCAAACATGCAAAAGACATTAACTTTATTTATGTTTTGGATTATTAATGTGGCTGTTAAAATTCCTCCAGTTAGTTTTGATTGAATTGTTTTTTTGTGCGATTCTGTCGTTTAATGGAGCGGTAAATAAGAATTTCTGATAATGAGCCCAAGCATCTGTCACAACAACCTGGCGCTGGTTATTAACATTTCCATTAACGGCAGGGTGGGCAGTGATAATATGGAAACCACACAGTTAGAACAAAATAAATAGTTGGTGTCAGGCTGAGTGGGTGTTAATTACTATTTTATTTTATAACTCTGGGGGGAGGGAGTATTGGTAGAAAAGTGTGACTTATGAAGGTCATTCTCTCTAAAGAAAGAAGTCTCCAGAGGAACTGATAACTGGGGCTATCTAACTCAAGTAGTGAATGTTTTATCACTCCTATTTATGGCCCATAAAGGGGCTGAGAGAAGAGAGGCAGCTTTCTCAGGTGGCCTGGGTGAAGGCTACAGCACCGTGAACATGGAGAAAGGAGAAGCGTACCCTTTGCCCTGCCTTTCTCTTCCTAATTCTGGAGTTTGAACGGGACACGCTTCGGCACCTTCTCTGTAAACAGAACATGTGCTGTTTTGTTAAGACCTGCCGGAGACAGGGACAGCAGGTCGGGAAAACAGACCGTCCTTGCTGGCTGCTGGGGAAGAAAATCCACCTGCACCAAGTTGGATCCCGACAAAGGGAAGGATGGTGTGACCCAGGTGCACTGAAAGATTCGTTTTCTAGCACAGCACAATGCAAAGAAGAAATGCCATCAGGAGCCAAAGAGGGCCAGCATGTATATGTGACAGTATAATCAAAGCAGAGCTAACAAGTAGCAAACTAAAAGTCATTTTGTCATACATAAAATATTAGTTGAATTGATTAGTGTCTGACTGGTTTTGGAGGTACTTTTAGACAGTATTTTGGCCCTAAGTCTTGGAGCCTTGCAAACAGGCTGTTATAAAGACTTGCTGCTGAGTGGCAGGCCAGGCTGACGGTGGCAAGGGGGCTGCGTTGCTCCCAGTTACTTTCAAGAGTGGTCGGTCAGGAGCGCAGTGCCGCTGCCAAAGGCAAGCCCCAAACGTTACCGCAGAATGAAGATAAAATTCTCCTTTCTTTTCCAAAGCTGCTGGCAGGATTGAGCCGATTCAATGTCTAACCCAGTCTGTGTGGGACAGAACATAACCACGTCCGGAGGCCCGGCTGCTCCTCGGCCCACCTGGGCTGAGACTTCCCTGTGATATAGATACCTCCAGGGCTGACTCTGGTAGCTGACTTGTGGCGTAAACAGAGCCTGGCCTGGGTCCTTCCGCAAATGGAAAACTGCAACCTGGATATGAACTAGTTCTGCTTGTCACTATTAATTCTTCTCCTTTCCTTCTAGCACCAGCGCTGGCCCCACAGAACATCCAAGTAAACGCCCTTTCTGCAAGCCAGCTGGAGCTCACCTGGGACCCCCCTCCCGCCGACAGCCAAAATGGGAACATCCAAGGCTACAAGGCAATCCTCCTGTTTCTACTGGTTTCATTTATCTTGCTTGGCGTTGCTATTACTTGTGAGATAGCTCTACAAACTACAGTCGCCCTCGCTGTATGAGGCAAATTAAAACAGCATTCAGACTGCAGTAGAGAAATGGCACCGAGTCCCAAAACCAAAAGAAAGAGAATGAGACTGGGGGGGAGAGAAAAGGAAGAGTGTGTTGCTATTTGTGGAGAAGGAGGCCGTGGGGAAACAGGGTACGCAGATAAGGCGGCAGCTCCACTTATGCAGGCAACATATCTGCTCCAAAAAGCAACAGACACACAAGAGCTAGGGGCAAGAAATGTATCGAAGAAAAGTAACTGAGCTTTCTATCTATCAAATGTTACAAGCCATTAGGAAAAGCAGAACTTTCTCCAGGCCTGAGCCAGGTCAGATTTCAGAAGAATTATTTCATTTCCTTAACTTAAACAAAATTAAATCATACTATTAATTGCATTTGGTTCGTAGGAGATGAGCACGTTGCAGAGGCATGTTGTTTAGCTTCTCCAGCATGAGAACGGACCCTCAGAGAGTGGAAATGGGCAAGTCTACAAACACTGGAGCTTGGCTTGGGTTCAATGTCTGGCTCTGCCTCTCTCCATGAATTTAGGTCCATAAGCGAAGAAAAGCCAAGCCAATGTGAATAATCTGGCATCCCTTCTTGGCAGTAACAAGCATCCTTATATATCAATTCATGTTCTTTTCCTTTTGTACGTATATAGATGGTTCTAACAGCTTGGCTTGTAGAGCCAAGGTGGAGTCTTGCCTTGGCTCGTTCTCTCAACTTTCTGGCTTGCTTTGGCCTGTTGTAATGCTCTCGCTGCCAGGCCTGTCCAATAAGTAGGGCTGGCACCACTTTTCCTCTTGGAAACCAATTCTCCAAAGCCTAATTTTATGGCATCAGGATAAAAATTATGTAAGGGAAGAATGGGAAAAAGTACCTCAAGGAACTTTAGGGAAAGTCGTTATTACCCTCTTCAGGAAGGCATTTGCTTGGCTGTCCTGTGAAGACAAATGGTGAAACCGTTGTGTGCATACAGAGGTGAATTATGGACCGTCGTATCGGGATGCCAGTGCTGACGGGCAGCTAGAATTTCAGGGAGAATTTAAAGACTGACCTCTCATCGCTGAACTCTGGCAGCTCATATCTGCTGTCATTAGGCCATATTCTTCAGCCTGTGCTCTATTTTTGAGTGATGTACTCAGCTACGTGGTCACTGGAGTCAGGGGAATTTGCCAAAGGAAGAGAAAAGATTTGGCACGTGGTGAAAAGCGTTAGTATCCCATTTAATGCAGGAGTCCAGAGCAAGACTGCACCATCTTCCTGATGTTTTATAGCTGCAATGCCCAGATGTTTCCTAGGTGTGGGATATACTAAAACATCTCACTGTCCCAACAGGTTTACTACTGGGAGAGTGACATCCAAAATGACACAGAGAAAGTGAAGGTCCTTTTCCTCCCTGAGACAACCGTCCGGCTCAAAAACCTGACCAGCCACACGCGGTACATGGTCTGCATCTCTGCTTTCAACGCAGCCGGGGACGGCCCCAGGAGCAGCCCCTCGCAGGGCAGGACACACCAGGCGGGTACGGGATCGTTGCCTTGGTCTCAAAGCACAGACTTGGTGATGACCAGAATGTAACCGGGCAGTGGCTAAGGGAAATGGGTGGATGCAGGAGGGCACTGGTGTTTAGATTTAGCTTTCGGATGGGTCGTTACATTGTAGTGGTCTTGGAGGGGAAAAAAGGGATCAAATAAGTGGACCATGTGGGAAAAGGAATGCTACAGCAGAAACGAGAATGGACTGGCAGAAGGACCAGTCCCTTCACAAGCTGATCCAGAAGGAAACTGTCTGTGGGTCTGTTTCTGGCCTCTGCTATCACGTCTGAAAATCTGAAGGAACTAATCTCCAGTGCCTGGAAATTGCCCAAACAGTCCTGTGAGAGAATTATTGTGCTTTTTATAATTCCTCCTTTTTTTTTTTTTTTTTTTTTTTTT